CTCGTCCAAATATATTAAATAATAATAAACTATGCTAATTTAAAATTTACTTAAATTATTTTTAATAAGGTTTATTTTGATGGTTCCACCTGCAGGCGGGGACGAAATACAGGTAACTTGAATTGTTTGTAATTATTAAGAACATTTATAAAATTCAATATGAATTTACCTATTATGAATTTAACCTAAGGGTTTGAAAAAAGGTATTGTTGAAGTTTCTGATCTGGTGGTTGTCAACAAAGATGATGGTGCCTTTGAAAATGCTGCTAGAGAAGCAGTTATTGAGTATACTAGTGCCTTAAAATATCTTCGGCACAGTACAACGTTTTGGGCACCTAAGGTACTGTATGTAAAATATAAATGAATGATATTTTTGTTATTTTACTAATGTATTTTAATTTGTATGTCTAGGTTACTAGTGTGTCTTCAAAAACAAGTAAGGGAGTGGATAATGTATGGAATACTATCCTCGAATACTTCAACGTAATGAAGGTAAAAATGGTGACAGCTCTTTGGCTTAAATATAGTGTTTTTAAACATTTCATATTTTTAGAGCTCTGGCGAATTACAAAGAAGGCGTGGAAATCAACGAAAATTATGGATGTGGCGCCAAATAACATCAGAACTTCTGAATAGGTATAATGCTTATATTCTGTCTTTTTTTTTAAAGTCATTTTTTTTAGTAAGGGATCAAGCTAAAAATTCAATTTTTACAGATTGAACTCGGACGATTCTATTAAAAAACTTGTTAATGTATTAGAAAAAGATGTATTTGATGGGAAAATGACATCTGGTACAGCTGCAGACCATGTTGTTGATGTTTTTACTCATAAACATATGCAAGATTCAAACCATGGTACTATATAACCCACATAAAAGTTATATATGTATATATACCTTAGTCCATGCAAAATTAATTAATTGGTTTTCGTAACCCAGCCGGATCAAAATTTGAAAACTTGTAAAAAAAATTTTTTGTTTTAATAACCAGAAGAAATTTTTAAAAAAAATTTTATAAAATCTTTATATATGAAATTTTTTTTAAAAAAAAGGTCAGTCTGCCGGCTGGGTTTGTCTAAAAGTTTCATGTTATGAAAACCAAGATAAATTTGTGTGGTTTTATACTAATTTGTAATAAAAGTTTTTTAAATCTTTATTGTTAAAGTAGGTTTTTTTTTTATAGTATTAAATTTTGTGCAAAATATGCTTGTACCAAAATTTAAAAAATAAATTTAATATTTTTATTAAATAATTACTTATATTTTAATATAATTTTGATATTTTTTAATAAATAAATAAGTTTTGGTAATTATTTATTATAAAATTAAGGGAATTGATATTTCCACACCCTTTTTTGATAATGCCACATCCATGTAGATCATTAATTTTATACAATTGATCGAAGATATCTCGGCACTCACCTGACCAAATTCGATCAACCTTTTTTTATTTTAATTATAGAAAGCTGTAGAACTCAAAGAAAAAAGTTGATCGAATTTGGTCAGGTGGGTATCAAGATATCTTCGATCAATGTTTTGTAAAATTCTAACGTCTATCAAATATAAGCTGCGGCAAAAATGGTTTTCAAAGTTTGAAGATATCTCGGCACCCACCTGACCAAATTCGATCAACTTTTTTTATTTTAATTGTAAGATGTAGAATTCAAAGAAAAAAAGTTGATCGAATTGTTAGGTGGGTGGCGTGATATCTTCGATCAAAGTTTTTGTAAAATTTATCAAAAAAGGGTGTGGAAATATCAATTCCCTATTTTTATTAGTTATATATACTAATTAAGTCATTATAAATAAGCACATAACAGGTTGTTACAATAAGATTAGATTCGTCCTTTTTTTTATTAAAAAAATTGATTTTTGTTTATCAAATTCACTATTTGATTGGTCATATTGATATATAGGGTCAGAAACCTTGTATAACTATAATTTTCATATTTGGTGGATATCTAAAGCAGAGATACATTATATGATTAGTATTTATTGAATTAAACTTTAGGGTTAGAGTCATCTTAAGTTAGAGGCTAGGTTAGGTTTTAGGTAGTTATATATATGTAAAATTGCCTTCTTGACATTTTTGCTTAACTTACCCAAGGCAGGTTTTGACTAGCGTTTTTTGTATTTTTCAGATGTTTTTATTTTTCTTCAAAATTCTATAATTTGGTTTTCTAATAACCGGGGTTAAATCGCCACCCAAAAAAGTTACAGATCATGTGATTTACATCATTCTTATATCATACAAATTATCA